TTGGTGAATGCCACAAATTCTCCTAAATCACTCGTACGCACAATTTAAGAACAAATCTGTGCGTACGAACGGTTCTTGCATGAGGCCCAATGTTAAAAGTGCCACATCAATATGCATATTTAAGACAATGATAAAGACTGGGCTGTCAAAAAATATGCAATGGTTTAAGATGTAGTTATTCACTTTGTTGTTCTAATAAGTTTCAATGTTTTTGTTTTGTTAACTGAAAATCCTTGTACTGTAGTTTGAATCTATATTTGAGAAAAAGGGGGCAGATATTATAAGGTTTTTTCTTCTCTCTGCCACCTTTCTTTACATTTTATTTGTATTTTCTTTTTTATTGTACATATAATTTTGTTTTATGAAATGAATAAAGTTTATAACGTAATATACTGTCCATGACACAGGCACTAATGCACCCCCATGCCATCAGAGAGGCAGGGTTTTGAGCTGTGAGCTGAGAACAGGCTGGATGGTCCCTCCTCTTTAGAATGGAGGATGTAGTGTCTGTGGATTCAAAAAAAGAGTTCCACATATGGCTTCTGTTTTGCATGATAGAGCTTTAACAATATTCTGGAACAATCTGAAATCGTTACACTATTTAGTATTTATAGATGCTTTTCTATTTTAATTATATATGGGTGGGGTGGGTGGGTGGGGGGTCTCTGTGTGTCTGGATGTATTTTCAAAGTGTGCGGAGAACCTCAAGAACACATCAGAGACAAACTCAGGACTGGACATAATAAAATTTCTTGGGTGACCAGACGACTGCAGATCCTAGCAAATACTTAGCTAAAAAAGATGAGTCAATAATACCTTCATGACTCAGATGACCTTCATCTCCATCTCTTGTGTCTCCGTCAGCATCAGCTCTGAGCACATTGATCTTGAACAGAAACAAATGTTCAAACTGTGATGAGTAAAAGCTACACAAGGATCAAACAACTACCTCTTTCACAAGACAGTTCCGCGAAATCCCAGCAGTCCAGCTTTAAGCTTTAAGCTCCCTCGGTTCATTCATAAAACCACAGCAGGAGCTGGCCAGGTCCTGCTCACATGTACACAATGAGAAATGAACCCAGCAGCATGGAACCAAACGAGGCTAGTGGATCACGATGTATTTATTGTGTGATAGACGTCCATCTCATATCAAACAAAACGAACTGAATTAACTCACTTTAGCGATCCTATGGTTCATATTTTTTAAAATAACTAAAAAAAGTTGTTCTGTGTCATCTTTAAAGGAGACCAATTATGGATCCTAGAAATTTTTATGGTATGTCTGAGGGCTATCCAGACCATGTTCGTTCAATTTAATGCACAAAATAATTCTCAGATAATAAAATTTCCCATTTTCTAGTTCTGCCTGCTCTGACTTCTGTTCAGAAGATCTGTTTATGTTAATGAGCTCTGTTGGTAACGCCCTCCAAAAATCTGTTGACATTAACTCCTCCCTCCAAAGCCAGCGTTTACGTTAGCATGGTTAATAATAGCAGAAGCTCCATTGTACAACCATATGAGACCCAGAGGCAGAGTCGGTCGCAGCTTCTTTTTTTTCTCCCCCTCCTCTGCTCTGCGCTCACTCTGCATGCTGTTACCAGAGCAGGGAGCAGCAGCGGTCAAAATACCTCAGAAACTCTAACAAATAGGCTTTAACAAGGCTTTATTAAGCTAAACAATAGAGGTACATGAGAAAATGTGTTCATAACGAACAAAAGTAAATAAATAATAAATTTGTGGCCAAGCCAGTCTCAAACCCTGGTCTCCCACTCTCTGGTCCAACACTCTACCCATTGCCCTATTGGAGGCTTGCTGTGAAATGAGCTGCACATTACACAACAACAACCGTGACGGGCTTTTATACTGAGGAGGTGGAGCCTCACCTGGGGGTTGCTAGGTAAGGGGCTGAACGCAGGTTCCGGTGGGTTGTCGTACGGCTTGTGACATCACAAAATGACGGACGTATAAAACTTGTCATTAATATACATTAAAAATACATTTACTTACAGTAAATATGCCTCTGGGTGCATTTTTTTGGTCCTAGCACTGTTTTTTTAAGTACATACCCAAAGTTGAGTTAAAAAATCTTTAAAAAGTGAATTTTGCATAATAGGTCCCCTTTAATATTCCCTCAGTGATAAATCTGTTGATTAATCCTGCAGTCGCTCACTGACGCCTGGATCTTATGAAAAAAAATTGAATTAACTCATTTTAACAATCCTGTGGTTCAATATTGTTAAAACTAATACATGGAGCTAAAGATGTAATCAGAATAACATAACGATGTTCTCTGTAGTTTGATCTCACCAGTTTGTGGATTCTGAGGTCTCGCAGTTTTTCTTGAAGGACCATGATGGCATCGTGAGGACAGCTACCAGGAGGCTGGCGCACAGTGAGGATTACAGAACCCAACTTTGGACAAAACCTCAGCATGCAGGAGCTGTCAGACCATAAGCACCAAACTCCCAGCAGAGGGCCAACCGCAAGTCTTGAAGACCTGATGAGGAATAGGAGGAGAAAGGAAGAAGTGACAAAAATACTATTAAAATAAAAGAAACTCCATTTTCAATGAAATATCAAAAACTGAATGACTTTACCAAATTTACTGTTTTACAGTTAAAGACAAACAGAAGTTAAAATAACCCTAACGCAAGTTGAAATGGGCAAAACACTAACTAAAATACGATAACTAAAAGCTGCAAAATACAAGTTAAAAACTAAAAGCTACAGAGCAGAAGATTAAAAGAACCAAACCATGGCAAAGATTAGCAAAACAGAAGATCCCAGAAAAGCAAATAAAATGTTTAAAATAAGCTAAACAGATGCTAAAATTAGCTAAAAAGTCACTAAACATATGCTAAAGCTAAAATTAGCAATACAGTTGGTAAAAGTAGCAAAACAGAAGCAAAGCCTAAAATAACAGTAGCTAAAAATCTGAACTAAATTAGCTAAAGTTGGTAAAATCTTAAAGTAGGAAAATTGTACCTTAAACCAAAAGCTTAAGCTAAAATAGTTTAAAAAATTGAGCAAGAAAGCTGAAGCAGATTTTAGAGAACAATGTTTTAAAATGAAGTTATTTCTGTGGGATTCAGTGTGGATTTTTTTTTAAGTTAAACACTTTAAACACCAAAAGTCATGGCACACACAACAGAGTGAATGCTGCATTTGCACAGGAAAGAACATAACGTACTGTTAGATACAGTAAGTATTAAGAACTGGTGATTTTCTTTATTTTACCAGGATTTTATAATAACTTTCTGAAAAAATCAGATTTTGATATGAAGAGAACATGTTTTTACATGGACAGCAGCAGCTGGGGAGCAGTTTGCAGAAAAGAATCTAAATATTTTGTCATGTGGTGATTGAAGGTGGTGTGTCATGTCCTTACTAACCATGCTCTGACCTAATATTTCACAACATTTAGTAAAAAAAATCCACTTGTTTTAAAAAATGAAATACTGAGTTGCAAAAGCTCCATCAGGGTTATTTTTGGCAGGTTTGATGTGGTGACATCATATTTCCATTTCCTAATAATGAATTTAACAAAGCTCTGGGCAGTGTTGCATAAAGTACCTCAAAATGATACTTGAGTAAAAGTACAAATATCTAATCATGAAAAATACTTTGGTAAAGGTTAAGGTCTCCTCTAATAATATTAGTTGAGTAAAAGTCTTGAAGTATCTGATATTTTTTGTACTTCAGTATCAAAAGTAAATTTCTGACATAAAATCTACTTAAGTATTAAAAGTAAAAGTACTGAGTAAAGGTGAGCAGTTAGATTTTCCAAAATGACATTTATTGGGAGGTGACTTCTCCAAAAAATATTTTTCTAATGGCGTGCAGCTGTGATGGGTTGTGTACAAAGTAATAGTGTGTCAGAATGGTATATATTTATACATCTCATCCAACCACAATTAAATTCACTCTATCCAGGAGACACAATTTATCAGGATAGTATTTTTTAAAGTAATAACTCAGAATAAAATAGGAGTAACAACTTTCTACTTGTTACCTTTTTAAAAATGTAGTGAGTAGAAAGTACAGATAATTGTGTAAAAATGTAATGAGTAAAAGTAAAAAGTACATTGAAAAATAATTACTCAAGTAAAGTATAGATAACCAAAATTTCTACTTAAGTACAGTAACAAAATATTTGTACTTAGTTACTTTACAACTCTGGCTCTGGGAGATGTTCGGGGTTCTGTATATTTTTAAAAATGTTATTTTAACATTTTTTACATGTATTACTTAGTTTAAATTATAAAGTTAAACATTTCCCTATTTAACTTGTGGAGTACAAGTCAATAACTTATACTGATATTTTTATATATTTTTTTCAATAATGTCATTTGTTAAACTGACCTTCAGCTGCATGATTCAATCATAAACAGCTAAACAGATAACTTTAGTCAAACCTTTTTAGTTTCGGTTTATTTGCCTTTATAAGTAAAGTTGCTGGGGGTTGTTTTTGTTTTGTTTTCAGGTCAACTGAGCTCAGCAGGTTCAGGTGTAAACTGGAGGAATAAGATGTAACGAGGCAGAATTGCTGCTTCACGACACCTGCAGTTTGTGATCTGATGTTTCTGTTTTGCAGCTTTAAAAGTTTTCACCTGTTTTATATTGTGTTGAAAAACATTTTTAATGGGACGTTTCATCATGTAAAAGTAACTTTTTCTAACCAACATGGACACATTACATCTGAATGTAAAATATGTTTACAACCGTAGCCTTACTCTGCGAGCATCCTGAACATGGAATGAAGCCCGTCCCTCTGATCCAGCTGGAGTGGCGGTTCTTCTTGGTCCTCGTTAGGTGACATCAGCACACTCTGACTTCTCCGTTGATGAAGTAAGAAACAGGCAAGATGAACCAAACCCAGTCGCACTGCAACATGAAGGAGGTTTCCTTTGGGGTCACGTTCTACAGCAGAAAACACAAGAAGAGGAGTTGACACACAGCATTCCCAGGGAAGTCTTCTAAAATACAGCGGGTAAAATAAGTATTGAACATGTCACCATTTTTCTCAGTAAATATATTACTAGAGGTGCTAATG